GGTCACGGTGGGTGGGTGCAAAGGGTGACAAAATACATATGTGGGTAATAGTGGGTATGCATATTTTTATATAATATTTTTGCAGGGCCAAAATCCATGTCTGTTTGCGCCTTTCCAACGTCGATGTTGTATTTAACAAATTTTTGTATATGAATTTAATTAATTAGATGAGCTACTGTAGTTGTTCCGTGAAGTATATTTCGTAATTTTCTTAAGTTTTGTACATTTTTAAATTTTATAAATTATAATAATTTTATAATTTTTAATTTTTTTGCAATTTTCAAAATCAAGGATTAGGATTGTCTAAAATAAGTAAGTATGCAACCCAAAAAAATTAAGAATGCGGAAAAATTTAATCTATTTTTTGGAAATTTTATAAAAGTGCAAATGACATGAGTAAATAAACTTGGTAAGATTTAAAAAAAAAAATAAATGTATGCCCGGGATTTTAGTAGACTTTAGTAATCTTCTCATATTACAATTTTTGCAAATATTTACGAGGAAATTGCTTTTTAAACAAAAAAGACAACAAGATTGGTGAATATCTGGAGTTTTTGTAACCCTTAATTAACCTGAAATAAAATGAACAATGGACACTTAGCTACACAAAAAAATTATTTCTGTAATTTGAGATAATTCTTATTTGGAATTAATTTTGATAATTCAAGATCAAATACTTAGATTTTTGAAGACTTTAGTAATTTGATTATCTTCGAATTTTTGTTTGCAAAAATTGACGTAAATTACGGAAATTATTTTGTATTCCGAAGATGACGGACAAATCTTTGAGTTCAAAATGGTTTAGTAAACACTGAGAAAAATCAGTAATGGACAATTAACTATGCAAATTTTTAAATTATGTTTCTTTGATTTTACACAATTCTTATTCTAGGTTAATTTGAGAGTTCAAATTTGAATACGACATAATATTCCACGCTAAAGTTTGTACTTAAGTGTAAAGAAGAACTTGATTTTGAAGGTTACTAAATTATGCTAAAACATCTCAAGGAATCTCAATTTTATAAAAAGGGTGATAAATTATTGGATTTCACTAGTCTGAAAAATTATTGCAAAAAGTCACAAAGATTGGCGTAAATATTTGGGATTACGAAAATAGCGAAAAGACATATGTATATATGTACAAAATTTATCTGAAATTTTGTTCTAGGTTAACCAATTACAAGCAATATTAGCCATCCGAATTTTGTAATTTTTAGCATTTCTTGAGTGAAAGATAATTTTTATGGTCTGCTAATTTGGTTAATTTGATAATTCAAGTTCAAAATACGATATGATATTTCACGCTAAACTTTGTACCTGTGTAAACAAGAATTTGATTTTGAAGGTTAAAAATTTGTTTCTAAAATTTCTAAACTAATCCCAATTTATTATGCAAAGGGTGACAAATTATTAGATTTCATTAGTCTATTGCAACGTTCTTAATATTTGTTATTACAAAAACATTGTTGCACAGTTACAAAGATTGACGGAAATTTAGGATATTATAAAAAACACTTTCCAATTTTGTCACGAATAACTGACCTGAAGTTTTGTTAGTATTTAAGCAATTACAAAACAAATAAATAATGGACAATTAGCCATACAAATTTTTAAATTATGTTCCTTTAATTTAAATAATTCTTAATTTGGATTAATAATTTGATAATTCAAGTTAGACGATATGAAATTTCACGCTAAACTTTGTACCCGAATTTGTTTCTGAAGGTAACAAAATTTTACGAAAATTTCTGAAATAATTCCCAATTTATATACAAATAGTGAAAAATTATCAAATGCCAGTAGTATTTTGTAAATTGTTCCACAAAGTTACAAATGTTGACGTAAATTTAAGACATCACAAAAATCACTGTTAAATTTTGTGGAAACCGTCCGTGGAAGTGCATCTCAAGTTTTATTACTGTTCAACAAAATACAAAAAATCAATAATGGAAAACCAGCTTTACAAGCAAATTGTTAAATTGTACTAATTTGTATTTAGCGAATCTGATAATTTCACTTTCAAAACGTTTGGAGAAATTTTGAGAAATTCACACGAAATTTTATACTTGCATTAACGTGAAAGTATAGAAGAATTCGAAAAAATGTATAAAAGCAGTTTAACACACAGGGATCTGATATTTCTCGTGTTACAAAAAAATATTTTCCGTTACCAAAACTAGCGTAAATTATATCAATATGATTTTATTGAACTTCGTAAATGACATGCGTCCCAGAACTGAAGTTCTAAAACTGCTTAATAACTTAATGCACAATCATCAAAAAGGCTACATATTTATTTTCATCTGTTTGATTTGAATATTTCAATATTTTAATGACCCAAGACAAAATTAGTTTGCTAAAAAAAAGTCGAAAAAAATCCAAAGCATTCTATTCAAAAATAATTTTTTCTTGAAAATTCATATTTCTAGCCCGAACCAGGGCTTATGTAATTGTCATGTCCGTCCGTCTGTCTTTCAAATAACTCTCGAACGAGTTGACCGAAAGACTTGAAATTGGAAAATTGGAAAAAAAAATCCAAAGCATTCTATTCAGAAATACAAATTTTTCGAAAATTCCAATTTTTAAGCTTGCTTTCCCACATATTTCGTAAATAAATATTCGACCGTTTTTTTCATAAATGCATATTCATTAAGCACGCGCCCGACAAGGGACGATGATACGACACGTCTTTACCTTTACATTTTTCGATTTCTTGAGGTACATTTCCGGTCGTCAGTTACACATATTTTTAATATCTGATTTTTTAGTGCTGTTTAAAGTCGATGACATGATTTGTCCTGTTTTGTGTATTAATTTAAGTATGCAGATGTCTTGACCTTGAATGTGAATTCATTTTGACGTGCATGAAATGCTTGTAAATTTGAAGTAAATAAATGTAGAACAATCGAAACAATGTATTTCTTATTTTTATAATTCTGTGTAATTTTAATTTCTCATTTAAAATTATCTCGCACAAATTTCATTTTTAAACATGGTCACTGCGATGATACAGATGCACATTTGCTCTAAAAATGGTTCGATTTCATGGCGTAAATTTCCCAGAAGAATAGTCTGTACGCAAAATATGTTTGACCTTCTTAAACGTCGATATCATTATATGACAGTTTTTTTCAGGAATTAGTTATTTAGATAATAATGATCCTTTGGTCAAAAATTTGAAAATGTGGTTTACGCTGGATTAGAATACGAATACGACGACCTTAACAGGTCACAGGGCACGAAACTCTGCATAGTTTAATTTTATATAATTTTTGTCTATAATTCATGACAACAAATTACATAAAATCCATATTATCTCCACCATTTTATCTTTTTTAAAATGCATTTTACTACATTTTCGGCTTATCAAGTATCAAGACATGCTGATAACCCAAACTCATCAAAGGACTCGACAGTCAGTAGGTAATAATAGTATTTTTTTAATATATCAAATATTTTCGCACTCTTAAACGTCGATATGATTATGTGACAAATTTTTTATGCGAAAAACATTTATAAGGTTGTAAAGTTGCTCCGGTCCAAATTTTAAAAATATTAGATTTGCGTGGTTACAATGCAAATACGACGACCTTAACAGGTCAGAGGTCACGGGGCACGAAATGACATGGAATTCTTCATAGTTTAATTTTATAAAATTTTTGCCTATCATTCATGACATCAAATTACGTAAAATCCACATTATGTCCACCATTCCATAATTTTTTAATGGATTTCACCAGATTTTCTGCTTATCGAGACATGACGATAAGCCAAATTCAAGGAGAGGTCGCGACAGAATGTCATGTCATGAATTACGTATTTTTTAAATGTATCAAATATTTTTGCACGCTTAAACGCCGATATCGTTATTTGACAAATTTTTGTATGCGATATTAATTTATTAGATAATAAGGTTCGGCCGATCAAAATTTTAAATAATATTTTTTAAATCTTATATTATGAGATTTAAGGGATTGCGAAGGCCTTAACAGGTCACAGGGCACGAAATGACGGCATTCTTCACAGTTTAATTTTTCATCACAATTTTTTTGCATGAAATCAAATTAAATAAAATCCATATCATCTCAGCCATTTCGTATTTTATTTGAAAATACATTTCACCACATTTTCTGCTTATCAAGACATGACGATAAGCCAGGCTCATGAAATGTCACCACGGGACATTCTTCGCAGTTACATTTTTTATGATACAATTTTTCCATATCGTGGTTCATGGCATCAAATTACATAAAATCTATATCCTATCATGTTTTGTAAAAGTGCATTTCACCACATTTTAGACTTATCAAGACATGGCGATAACCCAAACTCATGAAAGGTCGCGACAGAATGTCATGTCATGAATTACGTATTTTTGAAATATATTAAATATTTTTGCATTCTTAAACGCCGATATCGTTATTTGTCAAATTTTTGTATGCGATATTAATTTATTAGATAAAAAGGTTCGGCCGATCAAAATTTTAAAAATACAAGATTTGCGGAATTTCGATGCGAATACGACGACCTTAAAAGGTCACAGGTCATGAAATGATTAATTTGTTATCACAATTTTTTTTGCATGACATCAAATTACATAAAATCTATATCATCTCAACAATATTTTAATATTTTATGTTGAAAGGCATTTCATATTTTATATTGAAATCCATTTCACCACATTTTCTACTTATCAAGACATGACGATAACCCAAATTCATGAGAAGCCACGACATGACATTCTTCAATTACATTGTATAGCATACAACTTTGCATATCATGACATCAAATTACATAAAATCCAAGTTATCTGTTGCACCATTTAATATATATTTCTTAAATGCATTTCACCACATTTTCGGCTTATCAAGACACGAGCCGATAACCCAAATCCATGGAACGTCACGTCATGACATTCTTTATCTTATTTTTCGTAAATTTGGGCATAAGAAGGACCACGAGATTATAAAGAGTGCCTCACATCCGTATTATATCACCACCCAAACCACCACCACCACCACGAAAAGTACAAGTTTTGCAGCTGATTTGATATCAAATATCGATATTTTTTAATATTTGCAATGGTCCTGCCCTACTTAACTATTTTTTCGAACCCTCCACCCAAATTAGTGCCAATTTGGGCAAATTAAAGTCGCCAAATTGCCAAGTATCGATCCAGTTTTGCTCCTATACTAATTATTTGTTTCATTCTTTCTTTTTTGTGAGTGTATTGTATCCTTCATGACGTTGACCTGACTTGACCTTTTACCTTATCACACTAACCAAACTGGCTGAGGGTCTCGTACCACCAGGCGGAGGAAGTGGGGGCGGGGGGAGTGGCGAAAGTGAGGGGAGATTGTTGGACGTCCTGTGTCAAAAATTGGCAGATCGGGCCCTCCTTTTGAAAGATTTTATGAAAGAGGTAAAGTAGCGCAAAATTTTAATTGGTCATTTAGGGTAACCTTCGCATATCTCGCAAATTGAGGATATCAACATAACTTGCTAATTTTGCAAGACTTTTGCTGGAAATTTTCCAGTGAGATCTAGCTAATTAACCTAGAAATTCCAGAAATTGGTCATGTTCTTATTTCGCAAACTCATCCTCGCCACCAGAAGCAAGGAAAATTATGGAAATTCATGGACGTAATATAAAAATAGGTGTTTTTAGTAGATTTGCCATTTGAATTACTCACGACACAAATTTCTGGATCTTCGCAAAGAGTTGCGAACTTGCGAATGCGATGCGAAATAGGACGTTCATTAAATTGTCCAATTGTCTAATTAATTCATTTTACGTTAATTTACAGGTCGGGATGGAGGATTGCACGCCGAACATAATTTTGGGCGATTCTTCCACTACGGATGATGACGATTTTACCACACCCACGACGACCACGATAACCTCGTCGTCTTCTGCGTCGTCTGGATTTTTAGACTCTTCTCGAGCAGAGGATGACCTCAGTTTGGAGTCTGTGTCGTCACCGATGGATGGGGGACAGGGAGGACAAGACGTCTTTCCAATTATGGAATTGCCCACGGAGGTTTTTTCATAATTTTGATGTTTAACATATTTAAAATCTGTTGGATACTTGGGTTTGATGTTTAACTCTGTAAAAGTTGGGCAGACTTGCTAAAATTTCAAAAATTTTCAAACATTTTGAAAAATCAGGGTACTACAAATCTACAATTTTGTAAATTTACACAACAAAAACTTGACGTTTGTTTCTACTGCATTCTAAAAGAAAATCTGTTTTACACAATTTACAGATCCGCTACTTAACCTGTTTAGTTGTAAACTGCTGTAAAATTTGTGTGAACTTGCAACAATTTCACCGATTTTACTGTAAAGAATCACATTTTATAAATCTACACTTTTATAGATTTGTTATTTTACTAAAATTTTTTAGTTACATATCAAACCCATATTTTGGGGCAATTTTTACCATAATTTTACAAAATTTTACAGTTACAAATATCCCCATGAATTGCCTCACTCACTTTTTAATACATGACCTTTGACCTTTTACAGATCCGATCCCGCATCCTCAACCTCCTTCCGCAACGACTCGTCCCCTGTCTGCGCCTCGTTTGTCGCTCTTGGCGTGACGAAATCGACCACTTTTACGAATTCACTCTCAACATTTACGACACCACGACGAACCTCCCAGCAATTCGGAGGCTTCGCTGTAGAGAGTGCACCATTTGGAAGTTGACCACTAAACTGGACCCTGGACCGCTCTTTGCTCATCCCGCTTATCTCAAAGGCGTCAAAGTTTATGGGCCAATGTCGGCAGAAAATTTGGCTAATTTAATTACAGGTAAAATTATCTAATTAGTGGTCTGAATTTAATCAAATTTTCGAATATTCCAGTTGCAAAAAAATTTGTCAAATTCAGAGTCTGAATTTAGAGTTAACGGTCGGACGGATTTGCTCATTTTAAAACTATGTATATACAAATGAAAATCAGATTATAAATATATCCAAATTCTATTGATCTTGGAAAATAGTTTAACAATATCATGTTTCTAACCGAAATTGTGTACCCTCATTTTCCAAATTTTGTAGATTTTAGCTTCGACGCTGCATATTTAGTTTATATTCTTTTATATATAGGGCCTCCTCAGACACACGAAAAAATCGTCGCTTCGAATTTCGCTTTGTTTTTCGCTTATCGATATCATGGCCAAAATTATGAAATTTGCAAAATTTTGTTGAGACTTCAGCTAAGCGACCTTAACCCCACTTCTGAGTTGAGTTTCTGTTCGCTTACCCCAGAGCTCGCCTATCAGGAAGTAAGCGAAAAACGAAGCGAAATTCTAAGCGACGATATTTTCGTGTGTCTGAGGAGGCCCATAATTAACTATTTAGATTTTGTTGGTGTTGAAGTACAAAGTTTGTTTTCAAGGTTCGATTTTCGATTTAGGAATTATCAAGCTTGCATTATTCTTTATTTATAGTACTAAAGCAAACCAAAAGGTTTAGATTTTTTAAACTTGCAGTTTACAAATTTTCGCCTGAATACATTTTCCGACAAGGAAACTATTATTAACGGATCGCATTACATAAATACTAAAAACATACATTAATTAAGCCAAAAGTGTACTTCCATGTCTAATTCTCATTATTTCCGTAGCCTCCACGAACCTGGAACATCTCACCCTCACGCGTCGTGCTAATTATCCCTGGATCCTCAACCTACGTGACACTCCTGGTCTGGGAAATTTGAGTGAATTGCGCTACCTCCGCCTCAACTCGGAAGAGCATGTTTCTCTCCACACCCGCTCGTCGTCACGGTCGGGATCGGATCACAATCTCGTCAATAAATCCGCGCCGCCCGCCCTCCCACCGCCGCCCATGATGGACTGCGTTTTCCCAAAGTTGAAGCATTTCGAAATCCTCAAACGGTTCGCGGTGTGGCAGGTATGTAACAAAGTAAAATAGGAAACAATATTTCTAATATGTCATGAATTTTGAAAACAAATTTTCAAGAATTTGGGATTTTCAACCAAAAACAAGATTTTTGCTCCTTATAGATTATGAAAAACTAATTCTGGCTAAAAATACCGATTTTTTTGTAAAACAATTGAGATTTGCAAGCGGAATTTGAACCGAGTGGCTTCTTTTTACGCGTGACGAATTAAAAAAACGGATTTTATCAGGAGAAACATAATAGTTTTAAGCAAAATATCTATTTTTCATGGAAAATACTCCATTTTTTCGTTAAATCCTAGAAATGGGACCAGTTATCCCAAAAATCATGACTAACTTTTAGCAAGACTTTGAATTTTGAACAATAATTGAATTTTAAATTTTGAAATTTCTCCTCTTAATTTCCAGTATTCCCATTACGTCACGGCCATCCTAAAATTCGTCTCTCGACATTACAAAACTCTCCGAAACATAGAACTGGACCTCATCCCGCTCTCTTGTATCGCTCTGTTAAACGATGATTCCTCCGACTCTGATGATTCCTCAGATTCCGACCAAATCGTCGCCCCACAGCGACACCACCACTACCATCACAACAACGCGGCTAGAAAACGACGCAATTCTGCTATTTCTGGTGACGAAATTGGCCTCGCTTATCTCTGCAATTTAGGTAAAAAATACCTTACTTCAATTAAATTTTATTTGAATTAAATTGGTAACAAAATCGTTACCGAGTGTGGTCATTAAGTACGTAAGTCTACCACTACCACGCTGGTAAAGATTTACCACTAAAAACTTCCGTGATACTCAAATTTTGCATCTTCTAATTAGAAAAAAGTTATTAAACACGGTAACAACTTTGAATCTGCCGGAAATTGTTGGTAGCAAATCTTTACCAGCGTGGTTGTTGCTACATACACGCGGTGACGATTTTGCTACCAACTTATTTTGAGTGCATGCAATTTTTTGTTAAATTGAAAATCTCTCCTTTTTTCAGACTTGGTCAAATTCTGCGTCACGACGAAAGGGTCCGACTCAGATATTTCGATTTGGAGTGCGATTCTCTCCAAACAAAGAAATTTGGTCGAATTGCGATTCGATTGGCTTTGTCGGTGCTTTCCTTGGATACATTTTCAACCCCCCGTCGAACAAAGTGCGGCAACCTTGGTGCATTGCGAGCTCGCTAGTTTGAGCATGTTCCACGTGCCACGTGGTGGGGGGAGGAGGAGAGTTATGCCCTTTGATTTAGCCATCTTTAGGAATTGCAAGACATTGAAGAGTCTTATTTTGAGGTGAGGCAGATAAAATCTAAACAAAAAATGAGAGTATTTCGCACAGACAATAACAATGTACAAGATTTCTTGTCAAAATTTTCAGAAAATTTTATTTTTTAAAAGAAAATCCTCCTTCTAAAATGAAATTTTTTAATGTAAAAAATCATAAAAAAACTAGATTACACTTTTCTCTAAAATATATATTCCTTCAATTAATCTAATTACTATTTTTTGGTTCCACACACCAGACAGTAAGGATTTTCTGGAAATTAGTTTTTTTAACAAAATTTCTTTTAAAATTCAAAATCCACTTTTCTCATCAATTTTCCACATACAAAATTCCATTTTAAAAATCCAAAATCTTATTCCAGGTGCCGCGAAAACCATGCCAAACTAACCCCCCGCGATCTCGACGGAGACATCGATCTCGTCGAAAACGACGATGACGACGACGTTCTCGCACTTCCCATTCCCGGCGAAGATCACAACGCTGCTGTCGCGGCTGCCTCCGCGAGTGAAGTCCTCCTCATGATAAACGGCTCCGAACTCCCCGCAAGTCTCGAACAACTGGAAATTTTCCGCTTTCCCATGCTCACCTCGGACCTCGCCGCGATGGTGTCGCCCCAACGGCTGCCCAACATACGGAAACTGTTTCTCCACGAGTGCGGAAAATCGGGAGAATTTGGCGTCGCGGCGCAAGTCTTGGTCGAAATGGCGGAACTCTCGAGTTTAAAATTTCTTGAAGTTATTGGCTTCAACGACCGCGGTGGAGAGAGGAAAGCCGAGTTGGAGGAGGTTTTTCAACGCATCGGTCTCCCGTATGAGGGTCAAGACACGTGGCTCGAGTTTTCCGACGGGTCATCCTCCGCATATGAGAGTCTTAAAGTTCTAAGTGCTAGAAGATCAAATGAACAAGCTGCAGCTAATTTTTAAGCCGTATTGTTTTTGTACTTCAACTTGCGCCACGTAGATAATTTAACTATGGCGCAAGTTAGGAGTAAAAAAATGCAGCTTAATTTTAAACAAAAAAGTCAAAAGTGATATATATTGAAGGGAGGTTCTCAATTTAATCGGATGTTTGTAAACTTTGTAAATTTGTGACCTGATTATATTATTTGCAAATTTGTGCAGAAATTTTGCTAATTTTTTTTACCAGGTTTTACAAACATCCGAGTGAATTAGAGTCTCTCGCAATTTATTTATTTCGGGTAAGAAAATATTTCCTCCAGGATTTCTGAACTCTCTAATTAAAATTCCGAACCGAAACCAAAGGATAATTAATTATATACATATTTAGTAATTTTGATGTATCATTAGTAATTATTTTGTAGTAATTTAATTTAATTATCTTGAATTTTTACAATTTCGTTAGCTTAATTTGTGTAAGTTTGTAAACTACAATTTTGTTATAACAAAAAGTAGTCAAATTATTTATTATGATAATCTCAAAAACTGTAATTACAAAATTTTATCTAAAATTCCAATTACAAAATTGTAGTTAATCTAAATTTTAATTATTTTCTACCTCAATTAATTAATTCCCTCCCGCTTAAGTAGCACATCCCCCAAATTTATACTGACCATTATTATGTATCTACTTTAATTTATTAATCGTACTTAATTAACTCTCAGGTCAATTAAATACCATTCTCACTTTCTTCACGCTACATTAAACTACAAAATAAACACAATTTTAAGACATCTCTGTCTCTCGTGTGTTTTCTGATTATTAAGAAATCTCATTGGAACAGGAATGCTGACTGAGGGGACGATTCCCACTCAAGCGTGCACATATTTAGACTTCATAATGGGGAGGGGATAAAAATTAGTGAGGCAATTCACGCGACCCTTGGGAACGTTGTAAAATCAGTAAACTTATAAAATTTTGCAATATTTCTGAGGAAAATTAGCTCAAAAATTTTTGTAAACTTACTCAGATCAAGTGCGTCTCTTTATTTTGTAAAAGTTTGTAAAATTATTTTACAAAAACTTACGCAGTTTACAAAGTTACCCAATGCGTCAATTGTCTTATTGATTTTTGTAACCATAATTCTCAGCGAAGTTCAAACCGATCATGCAAATATGTAAACAAAACAGTAAGAAAATTCACACAGTCCTTGGAAACTTTGTAAACTGCGTAAGTTTTGTAAAAGTATTTTACAAATTTTTACCAAGTAAAGAAACGCCTTTAATCTCACTTATTGCAAGTTTACAATGTTTAGTTTACAAAAATTTGTAAGCTAATTTTCCTCAGAAATACATACTTGTAAAATTTTATAAAAGTTTATAAGTTAACAGAATTTATCGGTTTTACTTACGATATTACCAAAGCCTGCGTGAATTATTACCAACGTGAAATTTTGATCATGTCAAAGCGAAAGATGTCATTGCGAATTTGTGTTTTAATTTCTAATTTTTGTTTTGGCTTTATAAAACGTTGAAATTTTTAATTCCTCAATAAAATTTTGATTTATTGGAAGCTTTATCATTCGTACGAATGTTTATAAATATAGAATTTTTCAAGCATGGCATAAATTCCATCAAATTTTGTGCTTCAAATGTTACCTCAATTTTTTGGACTTGGACACCATTGAAAATTTTTAGAAATTTTCAATTCCTTAATAAATCATAGATCCAGATATTCCAAACCCAAATTGCGTTTTTCACTAATTCTAGAAGTTTGAAAATATGAACATGCAGAATTTATCAAATTTATCCTATTTCTATTAAACTCCCAGTTATAAATTTTGTTTCCGACTTTGACACCATTTAGAAATTTTTGGATTCCTAATAAATAAGGTTGTCGTTAAACCAAATTGAATTTATGTTTTATTATGCTGGCTTCAGTACTGATGCAAATATCTCAACCAAACGTGCCCATTGGGAGATCGTGTTTTTCGCAAATTTCATACAAATTAAATTTCTCACCGAATGACACTAATTTTGTCAAAATCTGAGATCTGGGAAACCTCCATAGTTAGATGTGCATATTTTTCTTAAAAAAGAAAACTGGATCAGAATCTACATTTATTATATAATCTGTATTTGCCAGATTATTAATTTTCGGCATCAAACCGAAACAAAATACTAAAATTAATTGTGCATTTGCAAAATTTGGACATTTGGAGGAAACATTTAAACTGGGGCCAGTAGTGTTGCCAAAAACGTTTAAAACCCGCTTAAAGTTGTGCAAAATTGAATTTTTAATTATTTTTGGACTCCCAGAAAAATTGGATAATAAATTTCAAAGTAATAAGTAAAATTACAAACGAATAATTTTGGGCCAGCTTGTTTGTCAGTTTGGTCTTAAAGTTAAAAAAGTTAAAATTTTTGTCTTTTTTAAAAATTTTCATACCATTTCATCCTAAATTTAGTCCAAGATTTATTTGATTCAATTTTCCACAAGTTGGTGACTAGCCACCATATTTATTGTAATGTTAGCTTAATAAATCCAAAAAAAAATTGGCAAAAAAATAGAAACGGCAGAAAATTTGGCTAATTTAATTACACGTAAAATTATCTAATTATTGACTTGAATTTAATTAAATTTTCGAATATTTCAGTTCCAACAAACTTCAGAGTCAAATCAAATTTACATTCTGAATTTATAGTTAGACGGATTTGCTCATTTTTAAACAAATGAAAATAAAATTGCAAATGTTTCCAAATTCTATTTATTTTGCAAAATAATTTCACAATATTACCTACATAACATGTGTTTCAAATCGAAATTTTGTACCCAAATTTAAAAAATTTTAAAAGTTCGACTTCGACGCCGCATATTTCATTTATAAATTTTTATATATACAAATAATTATTTAGATTTTGTTTGTGTTTGTTTCTTAATAAGTTTGTTTTCAAGGTTCAAATTTATGTATAAATTATCAAACTTGCATAATTCTTTATTTGGAGGACTGAGGCAAACCCCTTCCCAAAAAAATATCTTCCCCCCGAAATAAAGCCAAAATAAGCACTACTTTCTCACTCACTAACTAAAAAGCACTTCATTTTCCATCCGACTAGTCGCAAATAGCATCATCTCATCCCCTTACTTTATTTTACTCCCCACTACTTATTTTCCTCCACCATAATTGGCTCGAGAGGAGAGAGAAACAATAAGTTTTATGCCTCATAAAACCCTGGACAAGATTTCCTAATTCTCTCCTCAAACAACAAACAAAACAAGGAAAGGTGGTACAAGTTGAACTTTCCGAGACAACAAAACCACTATGGAACGGATGAAATGACGCCATAACGGTGTAATAAAAGGAGAAAAACTCAACATAATTCTGTCACCCTTGAAAAAGGGGGGTGCATGCAGGATTCCGGCTCTTCTCATAATACACATGGGGTTGGATTTATAGGGAATTTTGACGAAATTTGGGATGGATTTCCCTTGACCGATACGAATTTATGGTGTTTTCTGTCGTTTTTTTATTGATATTTTAAGAAATCTTGGTTTTTGACTGATAATACACGTGTTAGACAATGACATGTTTCTCACGTATCTTCTTACAATCAGCGTTAAAATATCAAGTAACTAAACACAAACAATAACTGGTGTGGGACTTTAGCACTTCTGCAGAATTCGCGGATTGAAGATTATAACTTGGCAAAAATGTGCATTTTCACAATCAGAAAGCGGAGAGGTTAATAGTTTCGCAAGGTGAAAATGCACGTTTTTGCCAACTTACAACGTTCTTCAACCCACGAATTTTGCAGAATCTCTCAAGCTAACTAACTGCTGTTTGTCTTTAGCTCGATTTTTCAAATGCTGGTTTTAAGAAAATTCTTGAGAAACATGTCTGACATGTGCATTGTTAGTCGAAATTCCTTCAAAAAATTAATCCCCTCCCCCCCCTACAAAAAATACAAAGTACAAAACACCATCAAGTCAAAGAAAATTTCTGTCAAAATTTCCAAAAAATTCACCCCATCCATTCCGCAAGATCCCTCCCAACAAAGCAAACAAAGTCCTCCAAAAAGTCATTTCCCCATAATAAGTGTCCCCTCCAAAGTAAAATAACTAACTGACCCCGACACACCACAACCACCGGATCGTCCCACCAACCATTTCCTTAAATAACTGTACACTCTCTCTCTTTCTGTAGTGATGTGATAAGTAGTTATCTCCCCGTAAAAAAGAAAATCTTACAATAATCCCATCACTTCACTTTTGTTCCCACTAAATTCCCAACTCCGCCGAAATGAAATTACATTACAGCTTGGGAAACAAACCGGGATGAAAAATGAGATCGGTCAGAGAAAAGTGGGAAATGATCTCGTGGGAGAGAGCAGCTTTTAACCCTTTCCACTCTAATGGAAATCCATCCCTGACATCTGCGATGGGTCGAAATTGAACACCATTTTCTTAAAAAGTTGACAACTTATTTCAACCAGTGGTTTGACCATTTGCCACACCGGCGTCCAGTCCAGCCCGATCTCCAGGGTCCACTAGCCACAAGAGTGGTTTTGGTCTACACCCAATTACACGACGGATACACCACACCACCCAATTTATTTCGAGATGTTACGTTACATTACAAATCGAAAATTTTGTACATTTTGGTACTCCAAAGTTTGCTCATTTTCGATACAACAAAGATAAGAGAGAGAGAGAGACATTTGAGACACGTGGTGTCCAAGAACGGACTACTTTCGGAAGAAAGTAATAATAGGGTAGGAGATTCCGTGCGGGAAGTATGGGGTAATATTTTTGGTATATGTTGTTGGGAATATGGTAGTTTTTGAATTTTGGGAATTTGATATAAAATTCGAAAAGTTGGAGAGAAAAATTTATAAAAAAAAACATTTGTTGCATGCACTACTGTGTAAATGTGTATGCATGTGCATCCATTTTCGAATTTTTATATACGCTATTTTCCAATTGAAATCGCTTCGTACAAGCGGAACGTGCATGAACGTGCATCAACGTGCATATCCTTCATTGAAGGATATCTTTCCTAGGTTTCTCACCTCCATTGGGAAAGTATAGAATTTTTTTTTAATTTTTTAAAAATTCAAAACGTGATGGGATTTAAAAAAAATACAGTTTTTCAGTTTTACAATGTGCATCAACTTATGAACAATTTTCTCCATTTTTTAAATGCAATTTTTTATTTTCTCCACTTTCTTTTACTTTTTAACACGTGCATCAATTTACTAACCGTTTTCCCAATTTCGGCAATTTCTACGCATCAATTTACTAATAATTTTCACAATTTCTACAAAAATACACTTTCTCATTCACCACGTGTACCAACTTTCTCTCTACTTTCTCCCCTAAATCGACCCCATTCTTCCCGCACAGCCCCCTTGCGGATATGACACTGCCGATAATATTTTAAACTTTTCCTTCTCTCTCTCTTGGCTTGGCCAATGTGGTGGTGGTAGATTTTTTATTAATTTAGTTTCTCCAAAGAGAGAGAGAAGAGGATCCCGTCATAAATCTCGCCTCACGACGACGACGACGACTTTCTCCTTTTTGATTTATCACCCCACACCCGACTCAAGTGGGGCGAACTTATGGAGATGAATTATTACTTTCACTCCAGTCTCTAAATATATTTTACATGTAGAAGGGCTCAGCCAGTCCATTTCTCTTAAGAGGACACCAGCCTCTCTCCTCTCCACCCACCAGAAGAAATAAATGCGAGGAGTGACATCAAGTTTAAAGCGCAGATAAATCATTCCACTTTTTA